GATGTAGCTTTATTCCGTTATCGACAAGAAAATAAACGTTTGAAGTGTTTCTGAGCAGTTTCTTTTTTTTGGTGACACACGGTAATGAGAACACGTACCATCCCAAGGTATAATCACATCAAACTTCCCCACTTCAAGTCGAAGGAAAGGAGAGAGGATACATAGGCCTTTAAAACCTTATCCGTTCTATATTTTTTGCTTTATTGCTACAGGATTACAGAAAAAAACATCATACTCCTTTGACATTAGAACTGTCTTATTTTTAAAAAAAAAAACTCTGAAATGTTATCAATATGAAAACAGATTGATTTACTAAGGTATCGCAAAATATGAGATTACTACAGGTTTGATTACAAAAAACATCAGTTTACTTCTTTGGCACCAGATTACCTGTCAATAACATAGCAAATTCCAGAAAGAACTCTATTCCTCAAAAATCTAGTCTTCCAAATAGACTCTTTCTCTATAATGCTTGTAACTTTTAACAGTAAAGAGGAATTACAATAGCATTACGATAATCGTTCACTTTTAGCGTATAAATATGAAAGTTGGCTGAACTGGCTATATGATGTGCATCACAAGACCTGCTCTACTTTAGAGTTGAAGTGCAAAGTGCGATGAGAATAATGGCATTAACTACTTCCCGCAAATTGTATTTTTTTTCAAGAAATCGTTTCTTGTAAGCTAGATGTAGTTAAGAAATGATCCTTCTGGAGAAAAACGGAAATCCATACGCTTTTGTAAAGATTCATTTTGGCATTTATACGAAATGGCAAAAAATCAAACTTTTGTTTCTTGACTCAGAATTGTTCAAAAAGTTGTCTCAGTAATATTTCAAAAAAAAAACCAGTTCTTAATAAACAAAATAACTTCTGATATGTTGCTGGAAGAAATGAAAAATGTGTCTTTCTATTAGAGTATTCTCCTCTATTAGAACAATGTATTCTCCCAAATTCAATTAGTAGTAATTCTCCCAAATTCAATTAGTAGTACCGATATCCTCACAACAAGATTTATGGAAACGCTTCCAAGCGTTCTTATGGAGAACTTAAGAGGGAAAGGCTCCGTCGTTGTGTCGCTGTCGCAACTTTTTTCAGTTTTATTAAACTTATTGCTAGGCACGATGCTCCAACAATCTCTATGATCAAATTTTATGCTACGATAAAAGTGTTTATGAAGCATTAATGTTATTTTTAATGTTTTTTGGTAAGACGTTTCCTCTTTAAACAGCTGCCATCCATTAGTGATGGGAACACTGGAAAATGTGATTAAAAGGCTATAAAGAGGTGTATCAACTACTTATGTATGAACATTTTTTAAACTGATTGCATTTTTACATAATTGTGTGCTACTTTTGAATTTTCTGCCACTTTTATCTTCTACATATACAGATTGTTCCAAAAAATGTGCTATTTATTTGATGTTAATTTCAACAATCTTTATCTAGCCCTTAATGACTCATCTGTAGGAACAGCTTGAACTTCGACCTGCTCCTGAGAAAAGTTTCAAATTAAACTTTTGTCGATGACATTAGTTGATCTCAAGTTTTGTCTGCTTTTTGCGTTCAACCATTTTGTTGTTCTACTTATAATTGAATCTTCAGTTATTTTGTGATACTGCAAGGATGGTTATACAATGAAAAGTGGAATACTCAGCACCACCAGCACAACGATCATTTTGATAGTACATGCAATAAATCTCCCAAAGAATTAGTTTTTACCAGTAAAATTTAAAATCTTTTTTTGGTATATTTGCGCAGTTAAAAAAATAGGCAAGTATTA